TTCCTGGAGAAGTTGGCATAACACTATTGGCATGTAGTTCTTGTCACATGCTGTTGTAGTCAGCCAGGCTGGAATTGTACCTAACGTGAACTCATAAGAAACAGAAACAGTTTCCCAAGTGTGACAGTTTCTACAAATATTCAGAGGGCAACCTGAATAGTTCCTTCTCCTACACTATAACAATTAGCTTAATCTATTCTTTAGACCCCCATAGGTAAGCCCACATTTTGAGCAGAAATGACATTTAATAGCAATTCCTGAGTGCAGATGAATTAAGCTTATTCCTTTCACTATGTTAATGGACTTTTTCAGAATCTGAGGTTTCTACGTTCATGGAATCTTCCATCTGGTCTTTATTCTCTTTAGAGAATCCTTAGGTTAGTATGAAAGAGAGTGACAGAATATTGACAAGTGCCATGTGAATATATACACTGGTCCAGACTCATGTTGTGTTTCATAGCTTTTAGACAAACCTCAGCCTTTTAGCACTTGCAGATCTGGCTCAGGTTTAGCATTGTGCTGCGTTTGGACCAATGAAAGACTCCTATAAGCTGTTTCTGAACTAGTTGCCCAGAAAAGAGCTACCAAAAAAATGGCTGTGGGTTTGGGTTTCCTGAAGCAAGCTAAAATTGTATAATTTCGAAGCAGACACTAATTATACCTTTTGTCGTATTCTTTCTCCTAAACAACAGGCTCACAAAAGTATCTTACAGCAACTGCTAGAAAACCCAGAACCTGATTCATTCCCCCCCTCCAGCTCATGATTACACCAAGAAAAATAAAGCCCTAGACCACCTCACTTGCACAGATCTTTGGTTATTGGGGCACAAAAATGATTAACTCCTTAAGTCACTACAATCTTTTACTGAACTGGAAGATCTGGATTTATTAAATAGCAGAGGAAAGACAATATTGTCTGGTCTATATGTTACTTCTGGGGTCACCCTGTGAATGGGAAGGAGTTTAGTGAGAATGTAATGCCAGGGAGTCCAAAGGTGTCATTACCTCCAGGATCTGTTGTCCACAGGTTAGTTGTAATGCCAGCTGAACCCCAAGCACCATTCTTGAGGTTGGTAATCTTCGTTATTCAGGGTCTCAAGAGAGTGAAATACAGCCGGACTCTACAGGCCCTTTTTTCAGAGGGCTTCACTGATGTTTGCTTCAACTCTGTTTGATCGGGGAGCAAATCTGAAGCTACTGTGAAGGGAACCCAGAAACTCTAGCTGTGGATGCACCTGCAACCTCGTGCTTCTTTGGATCTGGGTTTTCAGTATTAGTTCAGTGTTTGTCTTCCAGCAGCTGTTCAAGAAATCTAGATAGATACCTGATTCTAATACTTATGAAATGAAATACATAACATTAATTCAAATGGTATTTATTTCAAAGAAGCATAGATGTGCATTTTACCAAAAGGCACAGGTTTGCTACTAGATGTCTAGTTCACCTTTACCTTATTTCCCAACAGCATCACACTGGACATTTCCCAGTCCCCTACTCACAGAATTGGGAAGGATATGGCAACTCTCAGCCTTATAGATATGAAGTAAGGTGAACAGAGGTGAGGCTGCTGTTTTCAGAAGCAGTCTCCTATATTTGGTAGTCTAGTTCTACCCTAAAGCATTGCAGGTCAAGATCTGTACTGAAGGCTGAGACAGCAAGAGCTTTTATACAATCTAATATGCTGACCAGTGTCTCTGTAAAAGAGTTCAATGGTGCTTGTGTAGACTGGGTCAAACAAGTCTTCCGTATTAAAAACACTATACAAAATTGCTGTGTGGGGGGGGGGGGGGGGGAGGACGTGCAGATCTGTCCTCGCAGAGGAGGGAGAGTTTGTCCCTGAATAAAACTTGGTCTTAAAGGTGCCACTGGATGGTTTTGGGCCGGGGGGAGCTCTGCAACTTACCTGGCTGCTTCTACTCTTTCCTCTTTTTTCTTTCATCTTGCATGCTATTACTATGCATATCCTCCCAAGGGAGGTATTCAGATGAAACCCGTAGTGTTGAAACGTTGCAGTTCCAAGTGACTGGCAACCCAACATCACACAAAGTTAGGTGTGCTTAAGATCACTGCTGTTATCCATGCCTGTCACCACGTAGGATCAGACTGTAAAATGTTAACCACTCCAGCAACTGTTGTTGCCCTCTCTTCTCTTTTTCACCATCAGAAATCCAATCCCATATGCCATAACATTGGCATCTTGTAAAAGAGCCTGAAGTCGTGTAGCAGCCTTTTGAAAATTCTACTACAAACGTGACTCAGGCATGTTGGCATTCTAGATTGAAGACTTTTTTTTGAGCTGTCAAGTCACAGCCAACTTATGGCAATGCCAAGACAAGAGGCTCTGCCTGCCTCTGCGGAGCAACCCTGGGCTTCTTCGGTGGTCTCCCATCCAATTACTAACCAGGGCTGAGGCTGCTAAGTTTATGAGACTGGGCTTGCCTGGGCTATCCGCTCGAAGAATTACTTCACACATTATGAGAATCAGTACTTCGTAACTATTTAAAGCTAGAACACTTAGGCAAAATCATACATAACAATCATGTTTTACTACCATTATGTTTCTCTTCTTTGGGAAAGAATACAAGCTCAGCATCCACAGGGACCAAACTTTGTTTCATTAAATCTTTGGGCACCTATTGGAAACTGCTTTCGCCAAGCAGTCCAAGGTGCACATAAACACTCAGTTCATACATGAGGTGAAACCTGGCCTGCCTTCGTAAATGCTGGTTCCATCGTTCTCATTCTTCCCTTGCAGAGATTCAGCTGGTATCCAAGCCTGCATTGCAGCAAGGACAGCACCATGACATCTATGTTCATACAACTAGACTAATTGGGGTTAATAAACCAAATTCATCTATGGACTCAGATCCTAGGCTGATGTAGATGACCTGCATTTGGACAATCACACTAACCGTAATGGTTTAAGAAGTATAGGGTCCCATAATGCCTGAACTGAAACAAAAAAAAATGGTATGTGGAATTTCTGGCCTTTATAAGATCTGTTACTGGTCTTCAAAGGAAGTTTACATCTTCCACTCAGCCTTTTATATGAGTGAGTGTCAACCAGCACACTGGACACAGTGCTAGTACCCTCCCCACCAACTGCTGGCCAGTTTATAGATCCAACCCAGATCAACCTCTCATTCTGGGTTTGGTTCTTTAAAGTGATAATATATGTGATTAGTTAACTGTACTCAACAGCAAGACTTTATTTACATTTTATTTGCCTTTCATTTCCAGTCACCAATTCCTCTGCATATACCTAGTTTTGTTCCCTTAGTCAAAAGGTAATTGGATGTGAAATATGAACATAAAATCAACTAAGTTATTCCAATTCTGTAATTAAACATTTAAAGAAGACATTCAAATAAACAAAAAAGACGTTGAAGAAATGAGAGCCATTTCAAAAAGCTGCTATCTCTTAAAAACCTTTAAGATTGTTCCTTTCAACGACTGACAGTGCAATGTGAAATCTCTCTAATAAAAATGCAGCATTAAAATGAAAACTGAGTGGAAAGAGCAGCAAATGAGTCTCTTCTTTACTCTGGCCGCAACGGAGACTTGCATGTCCCACTTTATTTTAGCACAAGGCATCTGCAAGCCTTAAAACAGTTTGATAAATCACTGGGCGACACATTTGTTCTAGTCTGGATTTCCTTTCAGTTACTTTTGCAAGTATATTAAAACTGAAGTAGTCTAATTCAAAGAAGAAATCCTTGGAAGTTCCACCCTTTCTGTTAAGTATCTTAGATGGTATTCAAAGTCTTGTGACACCTCAGGGACTAATTAGAAAAGCTGTACTGATTAGTGCTTTATGACTAATGTACCTATGTAAGAGTCTGCTTAAATCATCTTTCCATACATTAATGCAAGGAAGTGCTTGCAACAATACTTGCATTAGTCTTTAAGGTGCTATGGGATTTTTTCCTGACTCCTTATGAGTGAGTAAGAAAAGTATGTGCATGAAGGAAAAATGTGTGCACAAGTACAGAAATCCAACAGTGCAAAATTATTTGTGGGCCTACATTTCCTGGATGAAATAAGAGCTAAATAGGGGCCCAATGGACTATGAATTTTAATCCCACCCCAAATCTGAAAAGGCCTCTAGAAGGGAGATTCCCATTTTCCTACAGCAACTCATTCCTTTGCTACTTGAGATAGAGAAACCTAGCATTTAACCCAAGCTAAGTTCTCCATCATTGCTTCTACTATCCTGTGCAACAAACCAGTTCTGCAACATGTTTGCCCTGAGCAACGCAGCTACCATGAACCAAAGGGAAAAGAAGCTGGGGAATCTTGTAAGAAATGGACCTTGCCTGCTGCTGAATGTTATTTCGTACTGACAGAGACAGTCAGACATCCTTACGGCCAAAGGATAATACTGTGATTACCCGGTAATGTAAGTCTCATCTGGTTTCTTCAAGACACACACAAAAAAGCCAGAAAAAGCTACATCTGAAACAGAAATAGTATTTTTTGTTATTGTTTTGGAGTAATCCCAGCTCGGTTTTTAAAAAATGAACATACAAAAAGCATCAACAGTGACCAGTTTTCGTCTGTATCAAACAACCGCACTGCATATAACACACGAACTCTGGCCATGGCATTTGCTGTAAGCCTTCGAGCTACTGTTAAGATGCCCAGGCTGCCAGCTGCTTCATGTCGTCGTCATCCTCCACTCTCTTCCTTGAAGATGCTGTAGCAATAGATGAGTAAACAACAATTTACTATACAGAAGTAACAAGATACAGAAGTCTGTGACTCAACAGGAACTCTTCCATATAAATTGCAGCCATGATGCGCCTAACCCAAATTCCACCGAAATCAGCTGAAAGGCATACTTGCCACTGTTAAGAAAGGACTCAGTTAAGAATCACTCGGAGAGCTTCGTTCTGAGAGTTGGGCTTGGGTTCATTGTCTAGAACTTAGTTCAGAGAGTTGGATACCCCAACCTGTAGCCAGTTGCTGATCTTCATGCACTGTTCCTGTACTTCCTACCCATCAATGCCATACTACCATATGCCTATCATAGGCAGTATGTCTGTTGCTATTAAGTACACAAAATGGCTTGGATCCTGCAAACTGCCAGAAAGGGACAATGATGGTCCAGAATCTCCCCACCCTCACCCCCGGAACTACTACTAACACAGGGAACATTTATTCCCAACATGGAGGGACTCATGTGTGCTGTTGTCTACACAAGTTGGGTGGCTGCAGTGCAGAGGGGTAAGGGAACAAGGTCAACCTTTTTGCCTCTTCCATGAGCAGAAGAACTATGCTCATGGACGAGAAAGGAGTGAAATCACTTCTATTGGTTTTAACCTGAGTGACCTTGTCATCCGGTCAGAGCTTGAGGTCTTTACTTTGCTTAAACAGAGACTTATTGATATAGAGTTGCAAGAGCTCAGAGCCCTTGCCTCCGGAAGGTGCTCCTCAGTAAGGTGGGCTTATCCCCTTTCTGGTACTCTACCATATTACTTTTTCTGTCTGACTTCACCGCAAATGTGTAGAGCTTATCTGTTGGCCCGTCTTAATGTCCTCCCCTCTGCTATTCTTGAGGGGAGATATAAGCAAATTCCTTATTCAATCAGGTTCTGTGGTTGTAACAGAAGTGAAATAGAAACTGTTGAGCACGTACTCTTACACTGTAAATTGTTAAATGACATTCGAGTGGAGTGTATAGAAGCCCCCCTTAGGATGGTAGCAGGCCAATCAGATAGAATCAAGGTACAATTTCTCCTTGCTTCACGAGATCTGGAGATCATTGAACTGACCGCTAAGTTTCTCCATTGTTTTATAAAACGGAAGAGTAACCCTGATCATATTAATGATTCTTAATTTATAAGTTTAAAAACTTAAGTTTAAAAGTTTGGAATGCCAGTTTATTTTATGATTCAGGCATCTTTTGTATGGTCAAATCTAACTTGTGACAACTTGAGTTAGGCCTGACATACCCACGACTATCTATTTTATAATTTCTCTTGGACTGTATTATTGGGAAATGTTTTAATATTCTATGCCAATAAAAGGTATTTGAATTTGAAAAAAAAAATTTGAGAAAGGAGTGATTTCACACACACCCCTCTCCCATGCCACTGCAGCTGCCTGACCTACACAGCTATTATTACATGTGAGTCCCTCTGCAGCTGGAATGAACTTTCCTAGGGTTGAAAAGAGGGGGGAGGATGGGAAGATCCCACAACCCTTGCACTAGCAGGATCCAACCCAATAACATTCAGCAAGGGATAATATACAGGACAGTTGAGAAAATGAGGCAGTAGCAGAAAAAGGAAGCACAACCGAGCACCTCTACCATTTGCTAGAAAGATCCTACACTATTCCTGTGAAGTCACTAAACATCTGCCAGGATGATCACATCACATCTGGTGGGCAATGCAGCCAAGTATCTTTGCCATAATGTTGCTGCCTAGTTTGGCTCTAGCCTACAAATGGAACAACTCTGGCATCATTTAAAATCTACAGATGCAGTAAATTTGGTTTTATTTTAAAACAAATCTTTTAAAATGACAGCAGTCACTGCTTCTGTAGCTTTCTAAGTAATTAAAACGGGGCTCTTATTTTGGAGCAAGAGTGCCCTATAACATTTTAATGTTTTTTTCAGATCTTCACAGTACTCTTGAGAGAAACAGGAAAACGTCACTGTTAAGTGTGAACATTAAGCACAGGACAGCTGTAATCCTGACAGTATTGTTGCTGCCATCCTGACTTTCTGTATCATTATTCAGGGCTCTTTTTGTAGAAAAAGCCCAGCAGGAACTCATTAGCATAATAGGCCACACCCAACAGCAGGCATTCATTAGCATATTGGGCCACACCCCTGACAGCACAGCTCATTAGCACATTAGGCCACACCCACATGTTACCAGAAGTGTGGTTATCCAGCCACACCCACCTTTTGCTTGTTATTCTGTTGACCTTGTTTGTTGTCAAAACCCAGGGCCTTTTTTTGTAGCAGGAACTCCTTTGCATGTTAGGCCACACACCCATAATGTAGCCAATCCTAATGAGTTTCTGCTGTTGGGTGTGGCCTGTTATGCTAATGAGTTCCTGCTCGGCGTGGCCAACTTGGGAGCCAGCCGGAACTCCGTTCCTGTGCGTTCCTGCCCAAAAATAGCCCTGATTATTGTACACTGACGTCCTTCCTTTACTGAGACTTAGTCCCAGGTGGGGTGGGAGAAGAACAACTGAGCCAGCCAGCAGAAGGAAATACACCATCAATGACCACTATTGGTTATAGCAGGTAAGGTATTACAGCTCTCTAGTATCTTGCAGTCCTTTTATGCTAGCAGATAGGCCCATAAACTATCTATATGTAGATCTTCAGACAAAGACAACAAAGTAGGAGCAATGAAGCCCATAGGGTTGAAAGCTCTAATACCCTCATGTTTAATCAACAGTTGCAAAAACCAAGAAACAGAAATTCATCAAGTAGAGCTGAACTGTGTTATAGCTCATCTCTTGCCCCTGATTATTTCAATTTTGTGTCTTACCAACAGGCAACTCAACACAGCTAGCTTACCCGGTTGTGAGGGCAGCGACGTGGACGGTACACTTGGTAATCGGACATTTGCCATTTTGTTGTTGAGCTCTTCTTGCTCCAGTTCCTCCAATTCTGCCAGCAGCTCATCCTGAAAGTAAGATGCTGGTCTGTTACAGTTCAAGAAATAGGCTCAGTTATAAGTTGGGCACCTATGAGTAACCTGTGAGTAACTGCATGGGTGGGGTGCAGATATGAACTGAGAAGCTTCCCTCTGATCCAAGGTTTCCTCTCCAGGTGAGTGTAAGCTGTTGGGAGCCTGCGTGGGCCAGTTTCACATCTCTTTTTCCTTTTCTGTTTGACATTCCATGCTTCCTAAACAGCAATGAGCATGCTTGGTCCACATCAGGCCACGGGGGCAGGGGGAATTCTACTTTAAAAAGTCATATTTCTCTACATATTTGGGTAATCTCCACAGAATGCAGAAACCCTGCAAACTGGGGGACGACACTACTCCATACTGGTAGTCTCTCAATCATCAATTTTGCCATTGGAAATAATTATATCCAGGGTATCTCTGTTTATACCAATCATGTCAACAGCCACTCACGTGGTTTCAGGCAACCAGGCTGGGAAGCTTTTGTAAATGGAAAGATGGCTAGTTCTTTCCTCCCTTTAGGCATTCAACATACCACAAACATATTTGGTATGTATGAGAGAGCAGTGAATATCTTGTAGACCAGTAATTTTAAATGAAGGGGAGAAAGTTGTAAGACTCTTCGGACCCTCATTGGAGAGAAAACTGGGGCATAAATGAAGTACCACAACACAGAGAATTTGTATTTTCTTCACACACTGCAGGACTCTTCCTTGTTCCATTTGAAAGAGGTGAGAATGGGGGGATGATTTAGGGGCATAAGTGAGCTGAATGTCAGTGCTGCATGCATCTGCTCTGGAGACAGACTTGTCTGTAATATCTAATTCCACTACTGTGTATCACAGCATGGTGGACCGGCACAGGCATAACTCACACAACTGCATTAACATCTTTTAAAGAAACAGTGGGAGTCGTAGCCATGAGATGGAAGTTATGC